TGCTTGGAGATAGCGATTAAAAAATTGACTCTTCAGCGCTGGTCGGCACAAACGCTAAATTTGTAAACGGCACGTTTAGTTTGCTGGTATAGGTGACAGGTACGGGTAAACAATGGCGACTCGGTGACTGATGACGCACGCGTGTGTACTTACAGAACAAGATTTTTATGGTAAAATCGCTCGGCACAATTGATTACAACCAGTAAAGCATGATTATTGTACCTGATTGCTCGATTTAAAATATATACAAATAATGTTAATATGGTATGTACCATACTACAACCAAATGCAGCTAGATGGATAATTATACAGCTTCGATTAATAGATGGATGTATGGATGGATGTATGGATGGATGGATGGATGGATGGCTGGATGGATGGATGGATGGACNCGCACACACACACACACACACACACACACACACACACACACACACACACATGGCACTTGGCAGTAGCTGATTTTCCTAACTCAATTAACCTATTGAAACCGGTACTTCACTCGTTACTTGCGAGTATCGGTGCTGATGGAGCGATTCATTACACGAGGTTGCTCGCATGTGCCGCATACCGGCGATTGTTAATTCGGACACACTTGTTGAACATGCCAAAATAGTCGCTGTTTAGGGAAACTGCATTCCCGAAATATCCTGCCAACGTTAACGACACCTGTCTGACCGGCGATTAGCCGACTGAACTGGGAGCAGTTCGAGCTCAATACCCTAAAGCTATACAATTTGTGGATTACAACGATATGCGCGCGAGCCGGCCCAGGTGCTGGGTGGGGCAACCCTGGACCATCAAGTAGCCGGGTGCGAGCTGCTACTTACGTACACACGCGGCACCCCTACACTTGCTTGGAGATAGCGATTAAAAAATTGACTCTACGTCCATTCCCATCCATCCAGCCATCCATACCACTTTACATCCATCCCATCCATCCCATCCATCCATTTCATGTACCATTCCATCCCATCACTATCCATCCCATCCATCCATTGCCCATCCATTCCATCCATCTATTCAGTTTCCCATCCATTCCATCCATTAACCCATAGCCATCCATTCCATCCATCCATGTTCCATTAACATCGCATTCTCAATACTAACCAATAAACTTGCATTTAATCGCCAAGACTGCTATATCATATAACATCTAGCTGCCATTTGGTTGTTAGTATGGTACCATCCACTCATATTAATCATTAATCTTGTACTATATTTAAGTTAAATTTCGAGCAATTCCAGGCGCTACAGATAATCAATTGCTTTCACTGGTTTGTAATTCAATGTATGTTGCCGCCAGCGATTTTTTACCATTCAAAATCCTTTGTTCTGCAGTGAAGCTACACACGCGACGCATGCGTTACATCAGCTGAACACAGCCGAGTACGCCATATGACTTTACCCGTACCTGGCTCACTATACCCAGCAAACCTTAAACGTGCGTTTACAAATTTTCATCGTTTTGTGCCGACCAGCGCTAGA